GCAGTGCAGTTAATTAACATTTTAATAGCTTTTTATATTTGCATTTCTTTTTTTTTTCCACTTTTAGTTGCTCTTTTTGGAAAAACCTCAAAGGCACACACGTGGGTAAATTTTTTGTTATCAACAATTTGGTACTTTTATATACATACATAAATATATTATAAAAATGTGTGTAATTTAGCAACCTTACCCAACAATGTTAAATGTTTTATCAACCACAACCACTATTAACTTTTCTTATCAAAGCATTTCCCCCATTTTACACAAACATGAAAACAAATCATATTACAATACAAGCATTTCAGAAGTATTTTGTATCGTCATAAAAATTCTTTGAATAGCACTATTTATATTTGTAGAAATGGGGAGTATTTATAATTAGACTCATGGTGAGCATAAGGCAGGCCAAAATTTCATCATCCAAGTTCTAGGAATTCATGTCGTTGGATAAAACTATAGGGGTATCCGTTTGCTGAGTCAGCTTCGAAAAGAAAAGAAAACGCTGCCGTCATAACATACAAGTATTGGAAACATCCAAAACCTTCGTTTGGGTTAGATTTCAGACCATGACATGATTGTATATGTTATTGAACATATCACATTTCCAATGTCGCTAAGAAAAAGTGCTGATAATAAAAACAGGAAATGTAGCAGACACTCTTATGTATTTATAAAAGAAATCAGATAGAAAAAGCAATACAGTAGCAAAGAGATATCACTGAAAAATTTTAATTTGAGGCTGCAGGAAACTAAAAACATAGCTCTCACGCAATTGTAGAAATGCTTATCAGTCCATCTTAAAAAATGCAATTATTTTAAAAACGTATAAAAAAGTGTTTCATTCGAAATAATCAAAAATTACATTAGAATTATATTATCTGTTTACCGGATTTTTTTATGAGAACAGAAAATAGCTGCAGCGGAGCTTTAAAATATTTAAATGTGGACCAAGTTTATAAAATATAATAGATTATTTTTTTGATTTCTAGTGTATCTTTTGAATGATTTTGACACTTCAGTTCAAGTTGATTTGTAAATGATTTCTAATCACAAATGAATGACGTATGTATATAAGTCGTATATTTGTTTAAAGTCCATTCTAAATAATAATTATTAATGTTGAAGCAGCTGTTTTTATAGACAGTTCAAATTTGCGTAAGTGCCCCGCAATGATCTCGTATTAGACAGTATAAATTTCTTAGTATTATTGACGTCAGCTAAGTATTACAAAAATAGGCGGAATTTGCTTCACACTGCTATCACGCTACTGCTACAAATAATGCAACTTTATAAGTAGTAAGCTTCTTACTATGGGACCTTTAGGGTACGCGTCCAACGCCTATCATTATCATTTTCGAATGGCACGTGCTGGGCTTTCAGAGCGCTTTTATAACATTGCCTACTATACATGTACTTTGCGTGTTTGTTGTATACAAAGGCAATACACGAAATGACAGACAATTTTCCTCTAATTATAATTGCTAGACAACAGGAACAAAAGAAGCAACGAAAAAGGTAAACAAATTATGTGTTGTATAAGTTAAGGCGCCGTAGCATTAGCTGATAAGAACTGCATAGTACATTAGTTGCCTAATGGTGGGAAAGGAATACAAGGTCAAAAAGTTAGGGAATAACAAAATATTAATAAAATGAAATGTTAAATAACGTAAAAGTGTCAACTAATCAGTAACAGCTTAAAATGCCAAAAAAAAAAATTAGTGAGAGCTCTAAAAATTAAACTAAATTAGAATATTTGACAAAAAATTAAACATTTTCAATTATTAACTGATATTGGCTCTGGGGAGACCAGGTACGGATTTAAATTTGTTTTTATTTAAAGGGACCTCTATCGGAACCAAGTCCCCAAATCCTATGTATAGTACGATAGACATCCCGAAAAAAACAACCGTTCATTTGCCTTGATTCCTTTTCAATCTTTCATTCATTTGCTTCTGCATATATAAAGTTAAGTACCACTTTATATAGAAACGCATCCAAATCGTTCAGAACAAAAACAAACTAATATGATGCTTCTTTCATTTATTTACTGATTCTCTTCCTTAGTTGCGTTGAAGTGCGCGTCCATAGACAATGAGTGGAATGTTTTTAAAATAGGTTTTTAGTACTTATACGAGTATATATATGTACATATGTGGAAGATTATCAGGTCACTTCAAGTCCAATGTCATGGTTGAACTTGTGCTGATAATGAAAGAAATGAGCACTACAGTAATGCTTGACTAACGGAAATTTAATGCCATTGGTCATAGCAATTGCCACAAACAAATACACACCAACACATACAAGTATATGGGACGTTAGTCAATAACTAACTTGGTGTACGGCCACAAATTAGCGAACAAGCAACCAAAGCATATGAAGACAAACCATAGGAAAAGAACTGTTGTATACTAGAACGATATGTCCAAAGTGCACGCCTTAAGCCGCTCGTCTGTGACTGTTGTGGGGTTAGTGGATGTTTGTTGTTGTTTCCTTTTACCATTTCTTTATGTTAATTATGCACAACAACAACAAAAATCAATAACCAAAGCGTCGACATTGACAAAATGTGGTGAGAATTGTGGGCCAGGAGAAGTGAGAAGAGTAATAGTTTAGCACACCTAAAATGGAAAATGTCAGTCAAATGGACTCTATTTATTTATTGCCTGAGAGCTTTGCCATTCGATGGCCATTCATTTTGTTATGCTCACAGAAGAGCGTAATTGAAAATATTTCCAAGGAATACAACAAATGATAAGAGTTGGTGCGAGTTTTATGTTTAATATACATACATATGTTAATTAACGTTTCTAAAATTAGACTCCACCAATTTGGTGAATATACTACAAGTTTACAGCTGAACTGGAATTAATTTTTCGAAAGTGTATATGAGCGTCGATTTGTGGATTATTTGGCTTTTCTTGTAGTTGCATGCAATGTCCTTGATGCCTGTTATCCAACGAGCAACCCACCATTAGATGATGACTCAGCCTTTATTGTGTGGGCAGGAGTTTGTGTTTCTGTTTTTGTTTTTATTCGTATTTGATGTGCCAATTGCAGCATTGACGCACATTCCGCGTTGGTAGTCGATGTCGTGGGTGTGCCAATACAACAATAACAACGCCAATTTGGCTGCATTGTTGGTCGGTCTTAAACTTTCCCTTGGAAGACCAAAGAAGTCCAAAAACAGTGCTTAATTAAAGTCAAATTACGTATCAGAAATTGACAAGGCACTGGAAGGCAGGCACAACAACAACCAAATAGAAAAGTCAAGAAAAACGTGGCATATTAACAAGTCTAATCAAAGCGTGAGCCATTGAACTATTGAACAACAACAAACAGCAAAGCCAACAACACATACCAAAACAAAGCTCATGATTTTGTTTTTGTCGTAACTAATTGTTGGACGGTTTCGAAAGCGTGCACGCATTTTGCAAGAAAATTTTTATTCATGACTTCCGATGAAAATTGTTAATGCCTTATATAAGCAAACAAATTGGTAGTGCAAAAGTCAAAGAAAACTGAAAATTGTGAAAAGGTTACAAGTTGCTGTTATTTTACAGGGCAAGACTCAAAGAAGCCGCTGTTACTCAACAGAGTGTAAATAATAAAGCAGCAGCAACAGCCACAACAACATCTGTAGTGGCAACAACATTTGCGTACTAGGAAATGCATATAACGGTAGCTGCGCTGCCGGGCGGCAGGTAGGTGAGCAGAGCCCAGGAGGAAGACGAAGACAAGCCGATGCAGTCGGCGTCGCTGCCGCTGCTGCTGCTGTTGCTGTTACACGTGTAAAACACATAACATCTGCGAAGGTTGCTGGTCTGTTATGGTAAAATGTCTTGACATTTGTGCGGCTTTAAGGGTTTAAAAATATAATTTTGCCCATTGTTTTTTATTTCTCTTTTAAGCAATATAATTGACACTAAGCCTTTGTTATTGTACTGCTGCTGTTGCTCATGTCGCTGCCAAAGAGTTGGCAGTTTGAGTGCACTTGGACTTGTACTCGCTTACAACAAATTGTTGCGCCAAATTCGGAAAAGCAGATACCACCTGTCCTGATATACATATGCATATATTCATATATGTAGAATGTATGTATATACATACATAAGTACAGAATCAATTTTTGTGAGGCACGCTCGTGTAATTTGTAATTTTCAAATATTCATCGTTAATTAGACAATTTTCAGATTTGTTTTTATACCCTGTACCCGTAGGGTAAAAAGGGTATATTAGGTTTGTGCAAAGTATGTAACATACAGAAGGAAGCATCTCCGACCCCATAAAGTATATATATTCTTGATCAGCATGACGAGAGAAATCGATCTAGACATGTCCGTCCGTCTGTCCGTCTGTCCGTCTGTCCGTCCGTCTGGATGAACGCAAGGATCTCGGAAACTATAAAAGCTGGAATAACCAAAGTTGGCATCCAGATTCTCCTAGGTCCGAGTAAGGACGAGTTTATTTTATTTTTTGGAATTTTCCCCCCCTTCCCCCGCTACAGAATTTCGTCAATAGCGTCCACATTTAAAATGCTACCTCAACCAAACTTTGCGCACATAATTTATATATAATTGTCTATTGTTGTTCAAAATTTTATCCAATTCGGTCAATTCTGAGAAAAGTTATTAGCGAAACAAATTCTCTACAGTACAACCCCCACAAACTGCAGCAACAAGTTCGCTCTTCTTCTTCCTCTTTTTGCTGCTGCTATGGGCGCATATAACTCAGTGACGCAAGTTAACCTGGGTACAGGGTATTACACTGTCGGGCTTGCTCGACTGTAGCGTTCTCTCTTGTTTCATTTCATTTCGATTTTATTTTCCTTCACATCCATCATCATGCAACAGTCGAATACATAACATGCGTACCCCAGAGTCGCTCCCATGCAATCGTTTCTATTTTGAGGCAGCCAAAATGTGCCATGTGCTTGACATTTTGCCTTCATTTTTTTTCTGTTCTGTTCTTATGCTATGTGTATAGAATTTCTCGCTTACTTCTGTTCACTTGTGTTTGTGATTATCTGTTTGTTGTATTGCTGACACAAATTTACACAAAATGTTATTTTTAATTGCTTTGCGTAGTAGCACTTTTTGGATTTTGCGCGTTCGGTTTTTTTTATACTTTTTTATGTTCAGTAATTCTCTTGTATGTAAAAACACCGCACACTGCACACGTTCTAAATATGCCAAACGAGTAGAAAAAAGGTAGCACTGCTGGCCACCAACGCACAAGGTTTCAAAACAAAATTATGCCGAACCGCGCGGCATGAGAACTTTCAGCAACTGAAACTGTCAACGTTGAATCGCGCGCCTTAAATACAAAAGTCACTATGTGCAGAGAGAGAAGTGCACAGAAAGAGCGCGCGCGCCAAATTTAAAGAGCGGTGCTTGAAAGTAACGGCTGAATCGATAGCACATGTTCTAAGGCGGCTGAAAGCAAAACAGAACGAACGCGACAGCCCGACTCTTGTTTGCCCTGACCCGCTTCCTTATCCACAAGAGTTAACAGAAAGTAATTTCTTTGTACCAATCGTTCTAATGCCACCTATGTATATGATATAGTGCAGCTATTTTAATGTGATTTCAGATTATGCTAAGACTTAATGGAAAATACAAGGTGACAATTAATAATGATAAACTTGTTGGAACATATTGTATAGCGATGCGTATATGAACGGACATCACATTTACATGGCGTTTAGATGTTTTAGCATACTCTTTCACCCAACCGGTGCAGGGTATGAAAATACATGAAGTTCTGTGCGCAGAAGCAGCGAACAATCTCAAACCGCCAATTGAGTGATGAACAAGCAAAAACTCGTAAGGCAAGAGAGCGAGAGCGAGAGAGAGAGGGGCAGTGAGAGAGTGCACCTCATATTCAAATTCAAGTTACTTCACAAACAACGTTGTGGACGCTGCTTAATTCACCACTGGGTATGCAGCACTCTCGCACTCACAATAATCAAGACAAAGGACAACTCACAAGGTGTGCGAAGGATATGTATATTGCTGAATAGCATCTCTAACTACTCTACTCTAACCTTAAAAAAAGAGAATAAAACTTTAAAAGGGCAAGGGCCGGTTTTGGCTGACGAAATACTGCCTCGTGGCGTCATCAGCGATTTGCCGGCCGCGCTGCAGATTCTTATGTACGATGTATGTATGTATAACTTTCTAAGTATCTGAAACGGAAACATGAAACTCTAAATTAGAAGCCAGAATCGACGAACGACATACGACACGCGACAATATCGCGTAACATCCTTCAAACGTTGCGCTATGATAAGATATTGCCAACATTGCATCAGATAAAAAGTGCTACTCAACATTGTATTCTATTCTATTTTTTTTAATAGGCTAAAATATATACATTTCATTGATTAAATATTTTGAAAACTCATCCACTTAACTAAAAACAAGCACGGAGATATTTTATTTTATTTTTTAAAATACATAATACATTTGGTTTCTAGGTTTTATTGAAGTCATCATGAATTGCATTTTTAACGACTGATTTCAATTCCAAGTTGAAAACACATCTACGTCACTAATTTTTTTTAATTTGCACCACAATATATGTACATATCACAACTACTATACATATTACTCATTATGATGAAATTCTCATAGATAATAATAAATTATCCAAAATGTTTTCTACGATGAATCCACAATACACTTTACAACAAAAATGGCCACCCGTCTTGGTCGTCAGATAGACAGCAAAAACGTGAACTATGACTTCAGCTTAGTGATATTATTGAGGATCACGTAGAGCCCAATAAAGACTGATTTTCGAATAAGTTAAATGAAAATCTTTTACTGAAGTACAACTAGAATAAGCGTTGATAAGTATGAAACATTGACCAACAATGTAGAGTAAAAAAAATAATGAATATAACGGTGTACAAAGCAGAATCTTTATTGCAAGTCACAATCAATTAAAGGTGACATGCGAACGAGCTATTTGGCAAATCACTATTTATCGGCATAATGACATAGCTGTGGAAGTGTCGTATGAATACGAAATTAGTAGTATTTCAACTATAAAGTGTTAGTTCGTGGAACTCCCACATAGAGAATGTAAGGCTCATTTGTTAATTATTGAAAGGTTGGTTAAGATATTTTATCTACCTTTACAAGCGTCAGACTAAAGCTATAATACCTTTAAGAAGGATATATACAAAATATATAAATCAACACCTGGCAAGTTAAGCCCAGTTTAATAAAATGTATAGATAATAGATACAAGACCTTTGACTGATTATTTGAATATTGGTTAAACTATATCGAAAACAATAATCAAACGGCACAAGACAAACACAAATCCTTCAATTATCAATATATTGCTATCTTATCTATTTTGTTATTCGCGAATGATTGCACGTTCTGGTTAACATCAATTCATAAGGCTAAGTTAAGCTCACAAACATATTGATAAGCCGCATTATTATATAAAATACTTACGTTTATCAAATAAAACGAATACCATTCAAATGTATGGAAATGGGAACGTTAAGGGCCTTAAAAACAGGGTGCTTTTTAGGAGTTTTTCTCGAATTGGAATGGTTTTTAGGTTATTAATATCATATTTTTAATTGAAAAGGTAGACTGCAACCTTAATGATTTATAGTTCATATATATAGGAAATTTCATGAAATATTGGCATTATAATAAGCTATTAGAAAGCTTGCATTTTCTCAGACAGATGAACTTTTTAACCAAGTCTCGTTATTATGCATTGCTTTAATAATTCGCATTAATTGCGATTAACTTTTTGTATGAAAATATGTGTGTACTATACACTATCTGCTATACTTTTTTCAGCTATCTAGATGGGATAACCAGGTTGCTTAAATAAATCCTCAACATAAGCACCCCATATATTCTGATAAATTAATATGTGGACTTTACTTAAATTGGTAAAAGCGATTTTAATAACACATTCGAGTTTAAATGCTTTATAAAAATATACTTGTATAAGTATTATGGATAATTACTGGTATATTATAAATAAAGTCACCTTATGTTTATTTTGAACGCCCAGGCGTATTCCAATCCGCGCCTATCTATATGATGCTTCGGAGGAAAAACAATGTGCAATTTGTTTTCACTCGATGTCCACTACAAATGGGAAAAATATAATTATAATATCAAAGTGAAATTGAAAATGCTTATATGTATAAAGTTACCGCGATTGTTGTGTCCTCCATGCCTAGCATAACCACCTGAGTGGTCTGTTCATTTAACGGTTTGGTCGACGTTGCTATATCCAAGCCGCTTAGTATGACATGGTTGAAAAAATGAATATCCTTGCCGAGCGGATAGAGATCGATTTCATTTGTGTCATACGGATAGTCCAAAATAAATGCATAGATAGTAATGCCGCCATTTTGAGATTCCAGTTGACGCGTGTACCAGACATTCGGAGTTACTGTATCATTCTGATAGATCCAGGGTGCGCTGCCATAAATACCCTCGCCGTTTGTTTTCAGCCAGCGACCCATATCGCGCAAGCGCTCCTCAAAAATCGGCAATATAGTGCCATATTTAGTGGGTCCAACATTGATCAAAACGTTACCATTACAGCTGACAGTGGTGACGATTTCTAATTAAAGTTGTAAATAGATATAATGTTTCTAATTGTGAGCAGGGTCTCTCACCTTTAATTACCTCCTTGGAGCTCATAAAATCTGCCAGAGTTACGTCGTAACGCTGCCCCCAGCTTTTGCGGTCCAAGGTGAAAGCATTCTCCCATTTGTGAGCCTGAAGTACGCCCGGATTAAAACGATCTGCGCAGTTATAGAAATCCCCATGCATGCAGGCAGTACCAAAACCCCAGCGATCATTTGTAACGACAGTCTCGCGTACGGGACTGTCGTTGTAGAGCCAAGCGATGAACTCCTCGGACTTCCAGTACTTGGACGGTGCTTCCCAATCCCCATCCGACCAAATGATCTCGGGCAGATATTGTTCTACCAGATCGATTTGTTCTGGTCTCACTTTATAGTCCACAAAATGTTTCTGCATCAGCAAATGTAACTTATCATCGGTCCACATGCGATTAAACCACTCAAAGAGTGAATAATATAAGCCAAACTTAATATTCGTATTGCTGCGTATGGCACTGGCGAGTTCCTCTACAAATATTGATTAGGGAATTATACAGTAGGGTCCTTCAAATTTAAAGAAATATATTTACTTATTATATCCCGTTTGGGACCCACATCCATGGCATTCCAGCCAAAGCTGTACTTGGAGGGCCAGAGCGTGAAGCCGTCGTGATGCTTGCTTGTCAATACCACATATCTGCGTACGTATAAACCCATATGTATATACATATCAGGTATTTATATGATCTACTTAATCTTTGTACATACCTTGCACCGCTATCTCTGAAAAGCAACGCCCATTGTGTGGCATTGAATAGCTCCGCTGTGAATTCAGCTGCAAATTCCTGATAAGTGAAATTGGGTTTATAATTACGTTGCATAAAATCTATATACTGGGGATACCGCAAATCTGTAAATGGAACAACACCAACCATTAGCAATACAAGATGCAATTATGCCATGCCCATTCAAAACTCACTTAACCAATCCGTCCAGAACCATTCCGAGCCAAAACTGGGCACTGAGTACACCCCCCAGTGCAGAAAAATTCCAACTTTCGCTTCATCATACCACTTCGGAAGTGGTCGCTGATCAAGACTCTCCCAATTGGGTTCGTAGCGTTTGCGTGGACCTTGCGCCGCAGACGGGCAGGCCTTAATAGCGATCAGTACTAAAATAAATTCACAAATAATGCGCCGGTAATTCATTGTCGCTCCCATTTCGTGAGCTTCACATCCGATACAGCCGCCCCGTTTGCTCTGTTCTGCGATCGCCAGTCAACTGAAGCGGGAAACACATTTGTACATAGAAAGCGACTAACTGTGGCTGCAGCTCCTATTGGAAGCAAAACACTTCAATTCATTCATTTAACTATGCCGCCTTCCAGTCGTGTAAATAATATTTGCGAGAGAGCCATATGGCATGTTTTGATGCACTTATCGTACGTTTTACTTATTCGTATACATGTGTATGTATGTATGTATGTACCCATGATCTTCACTGGGCAGCAATACGGGCTTGTTTTGCCGATAAGCCAGTTATGTTATAACATACCCAAAAAAATGATATGCGGGCAATTTGAATATTAATAAGCTGGCGCATATTTCATCCACTTTATTTGTTTTGTAAATCGTCCTGACTACTTGTATAAAGTGCCCAGGCTTCAAATGTAAATGAAGACAGTAAATGTGTTTGAAAATATAAAACATATTTACTATACATAAATAACCATCTCAGAACTAAAATGAGTATAGTACATACATATACGAATAAGCAGTGCATAGAACATAGAAATTAAGCATTCAAGTATATTGAATGGATATCTAGTGTAAGCGAAGCATTCAAACGCTTATTAAAGGATGGATATTTATTATATAAGTGCTTAAATATGAACAAGTTTTCATCAACAAAATCAAGAATATTTTGAAGTACTAAAACGTATTAATTGGCATTGCATTTAAGATCGAGTTTAAGATTTTATCAAAAATACGTTTTTAAAGAGGGTTGAACTTATGGTCGAATATTTTAAAATACTCGTATAAGCGGAAAAATAAGGTGTCCGATATTAACTTCGCATATTTATATTTACAGATAATATGAAATTGGTAATATCGTAAAATAATAAATACTTGTTTTTCAAATTTTTGAAATTTTTTTGAGAAAGTAGTAGCAGCACAGGTCACTAAAAAAAGAATTTATTTAAATACAGTTTTAAAACTCTATTGAACTTACCATTAATTTATTTAAAACAGATGTTGGTATAATTTCTTCATCTCATAACTAAAACTAATGATTGAAAGAATTTTATTATTCCCAACACCCATTGCCACATATTTATCCGTTTAAGATCCAAAGCGGATTGTTTCATTATATTGTAAAACTTTATTCCAAAAATGTTCAAATATGGTATTTGTTTATACATTTTAAAAATTACATATACAAGTAATTTTTAATGCAATTGGTGTTGCTATATATATATGTGCTAAAATTATGTGAAACCACATTTTGTATTCAAATGTACAGCAATAAATAAATTGGTGAAGACTTTCTTAAACTTATTCTGTTACTGTTTCTAAACTTATACACATGAGATTTCAAATCTGTCTGCATAGAATCATAAATAAACGCAGTTGACCCCAAACGTTGTCAAAATAATTTACCTATTCGTATAAATATTATAACCTTTGCAAAACAAATAAATTGTATTTGAAACAGAATCAAGATTGCACAAGAAATGCTTACAGAATGTTTTCGATTGATCGATTGACTTTTTTCAAACATTCTAATAAGACCCTGGGCTTAACTGTGTATGTGTGTATATGTGCGAGTGTGTGTGTGAGGTTTGGTGTGTGACTGTGTCTATAGTTTCTATACATATATTAGCCGATGCAGTTTTGAACTGCATTTCAGTTACTATTGAGTTGAGTTTTGAGCCTATTGTAGTCGAGTTTTGATAGAATTAGTGATTGATTGATTGAGTGTAGTTGACTTCTTCATAGTATTGACAATTGTAGTACTAGTAGTAGTTGTTATTGTTGTTGTTCAGCAGGTGTGTGATTGTTGACTCTGTTTGTGTGTGTGTGTGTGGTAAAAAATTGTTGAATCCTTGCTACACCAATATATGGACGTAAATGCTTAGTGTCTAACAAAATATATATATGGCAGTATAAATCAAAGTCGCACTCGTATAACTTGTTGAGGTGTACACATTTCCGAAAACTTTCTCTCTTATTATCATCTCTTTTCACACACGCGCTTTCAATCCGATTTTGTTGGTTATTTTGTTGTTAGTGTTTTTATTTATTTGAAGCCCAGCGCTCTATGGCTTCAAATAAATGAATCGTCAGTGCTCCTCGGGCGGCGTGCGAAACTCAGAGATCCAATCGGTGACTCGTAGTCGAAAGATTTCCGTCTTGGTAAGTATCCAATCGCGGTATTGTGGGGGTATGAACTCTACGAGTTTCTCCGCGATATCAGGATTCTTAAACATAATCATATAGATGAGCAGCACGTTTACGATGAACAACAGTAGGAAGGCCACCAGTGAGAACATTGCAGCCCCATTGAGTTTCCCGAACCAATTCACATTGTGGGTCTTGCGTTTCTGATTCGATTTCTGGGTGGTCGGCTTAGTGGATGTTAATACTGGTTTGATTGTGAGCTCATTATCTGTACTGTTGTTGGATTTCTTTGATTTAGATTTTTTGCTCTGCTTGCCAGCCCCCTTTTTCGCCGCTGCACCATTTGCCTGGGTTGACTGGGACGCTGAGGAATTGCTCCCATCGCCGCCTCCTGCCATTTGTGCTGCGTTCTGTTGACGTTCGTGGGCTAAGCGTTCGCGTTCAATGAATTCGGGTTTGAGGTTTGCACAAACACTGACCTGGAAGGAAAAAATTTTGAAGTGTATACAATATAGGTAAAACAATTGTAGGTTTTTAATGTTTTTTTGAATGTATGGTTTCATAATAAAACTCCTAATTGCTTGGGTTTTATTGAACAAAAACAATTATTCTATAAAAACAAAAACGATTTGATAACTCCAATTGAGTAGTACATATAGTCTGTAGATTTTAAAACATAAAACTTAGGTAAAGATATGATGGGTCTTTTGTAGACAAAGCGTTGTTTAAGAAGCAGAATATAAAGTGTCCTTCTGTTAGCAAAAAAAAAAAAGAATTGACCATCCATAAATATTCATTGGGAAATATTAAGTTTGAAGACCATCGAAAAATCTACTATTATTGCTTTTTTTTCTTTTCTTTATTTTCTATTTGTATAGGCTCTCATTAAAATTGTTAAAACTATCAATTGACACCTTCAATCTTCTATTTTTGCACCGATAGAATTAACCACTACACTAAAATTTTCTGCCAAATTCAACCCCTACATATTTATATAATTAGTTCTGGACTAATTTCAGAAAATATGAAAAATGATTATAGTGTTTTGGGCTTACTGTATTCTTTGCTGCCTGGTGGCAATCCTTGAGCGTGGAGCAGCGTCCTACTATTTTCTCCCAGGCGGGCGCTAACGGATTTCCTTTCAAGTCTAAATATCGTAATCGTCGCAAACGTCCAAAACTTATTGGCAAATGCTCCAAACGATTGTCGTACAAGTCCAAATGACGCAAATGTTCCAGCTGCCCAAAGTCCTCGGGCAGAAAGCGTATTTGATTCTTGCTCAGATCGAGCTTAGCAAGCCGTGTGAGTGTGGTAAAGTTGTGCTGTAAAAATATAAAACAAAATTCATATATTAACGCTCCCTTATACATAATAACAGGAGAGGGTTGTACTCACGCCGAGCGTCACGAGACGATTGCTGGACAAATCCAAAGTGGTAATGCGCTTGAACGAAGCCTGCAAATGAAAAACTGAGCATGAGTTGCACATTAAGCAGGAAGCAGGAAGAAGAAACCCCCAAATGCCTGGAAACCGACTGTTTTCAAAATCTTATTTTTCGGCATTGCCTTAAAGTTCGGTTCGTGCCAGTGACCGCGCCAGTTACTGATGGTGGCATAATAACTCATTGAGGAGGGGTGGTGGCAACAGTGTGGGGTGTGTGATGGTGGTGCTGGCCAAAAATCAACCCTCGAGCATTTTTGGCTGCATATTCCTTACCCAAACAACCACAAACAAACAAGCATATGTATGTATGTTTGCTAATGTTTGTGTGTGTGTGCAAGTCCTTCGTTGCCATTGCCACTGCTGCAAGTTCTCTGATGTGTAAATGCAATGCAGCAAGCAAGCAAACACATCAGCCACAGCGGCAGCGTTAATTGCAAGCCAGCCAACAACAACTGCACAACAACGGTGAGACTCAGGACAAGAGTTGTTTGCGCAAGCGAGATAGACACAGGCTAGACATTTGCCAGACAAGTTTGTGCAATGCTGGGATTGAGCGGTGGGTGGTTGGTGGATTGTTTGTGCCAGGAGTTATTGCCATTGCTGTTAATTAGTTATGCATTGCAATCAATGCAATTAGCGTACTTACAATGTCACGCACTGGTATTTCGCTTAGCTCCGACAAACTCAGATCGCAGCTGTCATCGTCAACGCGCTCCTTTACATTCACTTTGACCTTATCCACGCCTTTCGGCATCTTGCAAGTGCACAATTTAAAGCTTAATTTAAATGTCGACAAATTGTTCTCGTAGCGCGTTGCAATTTGGAATGCCAACCAGTATAAACCAAAACAACACAGGCACCCACAGCTGCACCTGCACTCGTCGGAAGCCGCTCAGAGACTGATTACAACGAATGCCGGCAAATGCAACAGCGAGCGGCGAATTTCCAACTACTTTTCCTTTTGCTGCCCTTTTCCTCTATCATCTGCTGAGTGTTCTATATTATTTATATTAAATTGACTTTTCTAAATCTACTTCTTATTTCAACACGCAAGTCTACTTTGATTATGCATTAAGTAAGCAAATCAATTTTTGAAATTACACCCACGCATTTTGCAACACTACACGGTTACAGCTGTTAAAGACAGATATGTACTTTGCAGCACGGCGAAAACAGCTGGTACGCACTCCACCCTCCATGAACGGACTGCATATAAATTATCTTTTATGCTTAGTTTAAATAAAAGGCGCATGTTTGATAATTTTACACAAATATATTTTGTAAAATTAAGAACTTTTGTTTTTATACATAAGTGGCTTTTACAGCTTTTATTTAACTGCAGTTTGGAGTTACTTCTTAGTCTTCCTCCTCTTCGGCGCCACCACCGCCGCCGCTACCACCTTGGTTCTTCTTCAGGTTCTTCCTCTTGACGCGTCCAGGACGGCCGCCACCGAAGGGCGATTTCAGTGAGAAGTCAATGTGCTTCTGCGAGTCCAGACGCACAACAAACGATGGAATGTTGACCACCTGCTTGCGTACACTAAAGCGAAATGAAATAAATAATATAATTAGTCAAAGCCACTTTAGTCTCAATACAGACTGCAATACAAAATAGGTTCAGTGTAACTTACGCGACGCAATTTTGCGTTATGGTTAGAGTGATTTATAGGGGAAATCAATTCTACCACAAGACGTTGAGAGCCGGTACAAGCAGAACGAATTGCTTGTTCGACTCTCAAGTGGTCTTACTGAACAATATATACAGAGAACTCTTTGGAATTTGCCTTGGGCATCGTTGAAGACGCCACTGCCAATGCGATATTTACCGAATGTGACGTTGGCGTATCAATACACGCGCATGATGAATGGACTTGGCCAATCCTAGCTTGAACACCTGCGTCTGCAGACGGCGCTCCAAGAAATCTTCGATTTTTAAGCCAAGCACGTAATCGAGCTTCATGCGAGATTCGTCCAAGACACCAATACGGACTAGACGACGCAACAGGGCATTACCTGAAAAACACATCAAACGCGAATGTTACTAAAGCATTGAAATCTATGCGAACTAAAGTATAGTTGACGTTGTGTCTCAGTGTGCAGTTGTTCACGTCAAGGCTTTTCAGACAAGAAGTGTCAGAATATTTTTTAAAAGCAATTCATCAGGATAGGCATGTAGCAGTGGTTTTGACTTAAAACTTACCCTGGAAAAGACGCTTCTCATCCTTCTCATCCAAAGTGAGCAGCTCACGCGCAGCCTTGCGGATTTTGGCCAGAGACAACTTCACGCGCCAAACCTCACGCTTGTTGCGCAGACCATACTCGCCGATGATCTTCAACTCCTGATCCAAGCGTGCCTTTTCATAAGGGCGACGTGGCGTCACGTAGGTCTTCGAAAAGACCGAAGGTATGCGGCCGTTAACCATGATTCCCACAATTTAACCGATCACTGTAAGGTGCACATAAAGCGCTCATTTAATTTAATAATTCACCACTTAATTTAATAGAGTGCATAGCGTATGTTAAATTTCCGCATGCAAAACTTTGAGGTTAGGTCTACATGCATTTAGTCTACACGTGTGGAATTTTACAAGAAACTTGCGCAAATGAAAACTTTATAAAAAAAATACAGTTGCCAAATAAATGCGAGGTCTATATTGTGGTCCGCATTTTTCTGCTCCGATTGCAAGCTAATTGTCATATTAATTTGCTTCTAATTATGCATATTTTCAAAATTATTCGCAGCTACAAAATTATCGTACCTTCGGTTTTGATGTTTTACGCAGAAAGAAGGAGCGTTGGCGATAGAGATGAACGGCATATACGTTTTGTGACTTATTCACTAGTATTTTATTGTGATATATTTCCAACTGTGACTAGGTTTAAGAAGTAACAGGTAGAAACACCAGTTGGGAATCAAACTGTATTCATTCTCAATTTACTTTAATTGTTGTTAAGAAGTCAGAAAAGTAAGAATATGTAAGTATTCATGAAACGGTGGTTATTGGTCGTTTCTAATAAACAAACACCTTTTTTTGGCAATACAAATATATAGCAAAATAAAAATCTTAATAATAAAAGTTAGTCACAGTATATTTTACATGCAAGCCACAATGCGCTCTGTTTATTTACGACATATCGATAAATTAAATGAGCTGTGCCAGTGCTACCACTAGAGGGTAGAGCCGTTCGGTAGTCTTAAACATAAACAATTTTTAACGTATGGGCAACACTGGGATGTGGGTGTGTTGGCGGGCTAGATATGAACATTTAAAATTTGAAAATCTCATGCAAGCAACGTATTTATTAAACTTTAATTTTTGCAAAATTGTTTGAATACATTATTTTTCATACAATAAAGATTAAAGTTTATCGACTTTATTTCCGTAAACTTTAACTTGGGCACGCCATATTTTGAAAGCAGCAACTTTTAAATCGAAAATATAAGCACCATTTGGAGCCGGTATTGCGCTCAGGGTGTTGTCATCAATAATATATCGATCAACTATAATATCGTGCTAAAAAAAAAGGTATTAAAGACAAAAATGCTTTGAGCTTATTACAAAAATACCTGAAAAGGACAGCTATGATTTACGTTGGAAGCTGATATCATGGGGGCGAACGTTATGTGAATCAATTTATGAGACTTTGGATTATTTAAAAAGGCACAAAAGTCCACCGTCTCGTTAAGCATTATTATGCGATAGGCTTTTGCAATTTTTAAAAAGCTGAGGCTTACCTGCAATGAATAAGTTAAGGGAAACAACCAAATTCCAATTTAATAATACTTACTGAGACGTCATCAACAGGTTTTTCAGAGAGCAAAGCCACATGAACGCTTAGCTCCGTCCGTGCGACACCTACGTGATTTATTTCACACTTTTTGAATTGGGAGAATGATAAATTAAAACTTTTGCACTGTATTTTGGAAATCTTAAAGGAATTTCCGTTACATTCCTGTACCCACAGCAATACTATTAGCATCAGCCACAACGATTGCAATTGTTGCATGATTTCACTTTGGCTTAGAAGTTCCAACTGTGAACAACTGATGTAGAAATAGGGGCTTTATGTGTGCTTTAAAGATATATTTAAATGGTTACAACATGATTAACCATGGTCATTGTGTTTAGAAAATTGAGCCATTTAAGCAGTTTTTAAATATTTAATAGTAAACACACAACTCAAAGTCAATCATGCATAAAGAGATTTTTGCTTCATAAAAAGTTTGCTTGTACCGATATATTTAAGGTTTCTAAATTGTAAATATACCTTTCAAATATAATATACTCAATGTTTTTTAAATAAAATTTGAAATTCTTTTTTATTTCTTCAGAATCCTTATATCAACGTTTTCTATAATTAATTATAAATTAAAAATATTAGGCAAATATATTACAAGTATTATTATTTTCTTCTTTTAGTAGTTCTCAATGTTGCAGCCATTTTAAAATCCAGTTCTAATCCAATTCTAAATAAAAAATTTATTGCTGATATTGTTTAATATAAAGGATACACATATAGTCGATTCGAACTTTATTGTGGAGTTTGAATATTTAGTCATTTCAACGTTGCCAATTAAGCTATTTACCGCTTTTTAAGCACAAACATCGCACAAAAGGTATTAATTGCTTCGGTGAAATTTAAAGTTAATTATGTGTATCGCTGGAAGAGATGTATTGCTTAGATTATTTTAAAAAAAAAGCGGAACATTCTCGGACCAGAAGAAGTTTGTATTGCGTTTCTTTATAAAGATGATCTCTTTATGAAGTTGTTATTCCCAAGCGTTACCCTAGAAGGGTGAGAACTATTTTCTTTATATATTTGCCCATATCTGTGCAATACCTTTTTCCCCATAAAATCTGGTTGTTTTTAAATAGGATTGTGGGAAAAATTTTGTAATTGCGGAAGTTCTTTTTTTTTTTTTTTTTTTATTTTTTTTTTTTTTTTTTTTTTTTTTTTTTTTTTTTTTTTTTTTGGGAGCTTGATATCACAATCCTTCCGTTAAAAATAGTTTTCTGTACTTTTCTGCTTAAAGAACTTTCTCATTTTTCACGAATAATCATAATAATTCAAAGACCAGATACTTGTATCTTTTGTTTTATCTTGGTACATGAAGTTTTAGTAAAAGATTAATTTTCACGAGTTACATATATATTAACTTCAACACGCACAACATTCAATGACGAAACTCTAAGCTTAATTAGGTAGGCCCCATTGGGTATGGGAAAGTCCATCATTGTGTGCTTTTGAATAGTAAGTTCATGGGCTATAATATCCTCCTGTAAAATAAAAAATTAAGTAAATAATTTAGAGACCTTACCTTACCTTATATAACCAATATACCTCATAGGGACATGTGTGATTAAGATTCGTATGCGATACAAATGATTGGTGAAAAATGTAGAAAAGTCTGTAGGCTTTCGGATCCCGCATATAATAGCAGAAATCGATGGTCTGATTGATAAAAAAAGGTTGATAGCCATTGGATTTCTTAAACAGACTAAAATTGACAGAAGCCTCCGTAATGGGATAATGAACTGCAACATATACATTTAAAGCGGTAATGCCACGACGAATAATCTTGAGCTCGCATGTTTTAAATTCATAGAGTGATTCATTGAAACTTAAACATTTTGTATTTGTAAGCTTAAAGGCACTACGCGTATTTGGAATAATCAGCAGCAGGACAACGACGACACAGATATAAACTTGGCGCAGCTGCATGTTGCTATTACTTCAGTTTATTATCGAATACTAAAGGATGATTAAAAAGTATTGAGCAATTTCTTTACAATTGGCATAAAGAAGCACCATGTTTAAATATAGCTTTTATTTACAATTTAGCTGTGCTTAATAAAGCATTTGATGCGATTTTAACATGTATATAATTAGGGAACAAACCTGAAACATTTTTAAAAAATATTTTTTATTTTCCGTACGCAAACGGTAAAAGGGTACATTAGTTTAGTGCGAATGTATGTAACACACAGAAGGAGGTGTGGCAGACTCCATAAAGTATACAAGTATATAGTAATATGCAGAGGCGATTTAGCCATGCCCGTCTGTCTGTTCGTCCGTATGATCTCCTACATCTCAGAAACTATAATAGTAAGATACATATTTTCCAAAGTTGCCTCCTTTCTCTTTTTCCCCCGCTACAGAATTTCGTCAAACTGTCTACAATTCCAAAGCTACATGGAATTAATATGCGATTATCTACTTTTAATTTACATTTCAACTTAATTTGGTTTTTATTAGTAATATTCTCCTTCCTCTTTTCTTGTTCTTTTTTTAACAATATACATACAAGTATAAATATTTCGGAAGTCCTTCATTACTTCAAGACTGCAGATTGAATTACACTGCTATTTAAAATTGTTGTTATAAATTAATATCGTTAGTTTTGAAATTTATATTTAAACTATTGTACTGACCTGTTAAAAGTTAGTTCTCACGACTTATATACATATTGACTTCTATACTCCGGTAACCATATGACGAAACTCTAATCCTAAATAAATAGGCGCCAGCGGGTGCTGGAAAGTCCATCAGTGTGTTCTTTTGGAATACGAGTTGATGGGCCTTAAAATCATGCTAAAAAGAATAATGTTACTGATTAACTAAACGACAGTTTGAATAAGTCAATATACCTCAAAGGGACACGTATGATTTATATTCGTATACGAAATAATTGATTCGTGAAATATGTGGAAAAGTTTATAGGCTTTGGGATTACGCATATAATAGCAGAAATCGATGGTCTGATTGATAAGAAACGGTAGATAGCCATTTGATTTCTTAAACAGACCAAAATTGACTGAAATATCTGTAAGGGGAAGATTATACACTGCCAAATAAATATTGGCCACAGTACTGCCACGACGAATAACCTTGAGTTCGCACTTTTTAAATTCATAGAGCGATTCATTGAAACTCAAACATTTTATATTTGTGAATTTGAGTGAACTGTGCGTATTTTGAATTATCAGGAACAGGATAATGACGACACAGATATAAAATTGTTGTAGCTGCATGTTGCTATTACTATAATGTTTTGTCAAATACTGGGGAATTGTTGTGGAACAGCCGTCACATCTAAAGTCAAGAAGCAAAGAGGAGCACTCAACCGTATTGACATTTGAGGCATTGTTTTTACATTAAATTGAGCATTGCTAAATAAAGCAATTGTGACAATTGGAAATAATCCTTTCCATGGAAATTCATTCAGAATATTGATGTCAACAATTTAATTGGTGAAATTGGAAATATACAAGTAATTTGTAATTATTCTACCAACAAAGTATTTAAATACAGCTATTACACTTTTTTATGAACATATTTAACGACTCTATATTATTCATGTATGTACTTTTATTGTTACCCTTTCATGGATGCATCTTGTTTCGAAAACTGCAGTTTTAAAAGGCCCTTTAGTAATCTTTTCATTTAAGTGGTCAATTTTTAAATCAAGCCTAATGAAAGACAAAAATTAGGGCTATAAAAACGAACGCTTATGCTCCTAGCCGATCGAACTGTATTCAAAGCCCTGTAAATGAAATGTATCATAAAATAGGAGGAAAAATTTGGAGTACTTAGAAAGATGTTTTTAATTACGTTTTAACACTGAAAATATTCATTCGTTTAAATGAAGCCAGCATTTAGTTTTCAGCTTTCTAATAAACGAATCAATTTGCAGCATCGATTATGTTTAACAGATTACTATTTAAATTTTACGTTTTAATATACAACCCACAAAACATTTTAGGTTTTACTTTCGTCGCAAGTATT